CAAGGCGATTTTAGTACATTTAAGGATTGTCCTGACATTTAAACCTCATCAACAGCCTTTAATAGTCCACTGCTGGACATAGGTCTATCCTTAGAAAGGAGGTTTTGGCCTACTATACCACGCTGGCCAGACAGGTTGGTATAGGGTTTGTGACAAGTTTTTCTTCTCTTTGCAGTGCTGTTGTCCTGCTTAGTTTGCTTACTCTTACTCCCTTAGTCGGCTTTTACATCACCACTGGGATGAATAATGATGAACAATGAATGTTTGTGACACTTCGTATACTTAATCCACGCAAGATTAAAACCTACCTTAATATTATTGAATAAAATCAAAGCCAAGTCCCGAAATATAAAAAATCTCCACAGCAAAGTCTAGAAAATTTAAGCCTAGAATATGTACGTTTAAAGTTTGTTTATCTCGATGATCGCAATAAAAGCGACGCTCTTGATTAAATTCCTGGAATTTGTCATTTTTAAAAGCTTTAGGGCCTGCAATATTGAGATATTGATGTCTGGGAAGGCAGCCATAAAACCTCGCCTTATTGTGCTATATATTACAACGTATCTAAATACAGAAATTGCTTCTGTATTTAGATACATTATACTTACAATCTACTGCGTTATAGACTTTTATTTACTCACTTCAAATAAAAGGTTTGACTCAGTTCGACTGAATATCGTTTTTTTATGTATATATTACAGAAAACATTTAGCATTTGTAAACCAATTTAAATAATTTTCGACTTTAAAAAAATAAGAATCTAGAAGAGATATACAGTTAATTACAATTTATTGTAATTCAAGCACATTTAAGTTGGTAACACTTTTAGTAAAAGTTTTAATATATAATCCCGTCGTTAAATTACGTCATACGAATTTTATATTTGTGGGACCGCCCCTGCCTGAAGTGACGTCATATATTTAACTGATTAAATTAAAACAGCAGTATTAACACTATATTATTAGTCAATAACAAATTAAGAACTCTATAAAACTAAACAAAGCGCTTACTAATAAACAAATGACAATTGATAAAATTGTATAACGAAGGGTCTAACAACGGAAAGAGTCTTATTGTAGACTCGATAACTTTCAGCACTAATCCTTAGGGATTTCTTTTATTGTATTCTTTTCATAGTAAATATTTTGTTCACTTATTCTATATCAAAATAGAGTATGAAACTGTAGTTTGATATGTGATGTCACGGAGATTATAACCTCTCTCCATGCCCCATCTGATCAAAACGTGTTACGTAATTTATAGATTGCCCACTGTTATTACCAAAAATCATTTGCTCATGAATGCGTACTTACATGATGTACTGTTTATAATAATTTACATACACAAAAAAAAAAGAAAATTAAAATTAACACCAATATTACGATCGTGTGAAATGAAACAGTACTACTGTGCTTTAACCTGTATTGTGACCACGAGTCCGCATTTTGCAAACCTATGCGAGGGTACACTTATATCTCTGTCTCTAGTCGTGGAAAATTTGAATACCCACACCGATTGATTACTATAAAAAGTATAATGTAACCGTTCAGTTTCAATTATTTAACGAAAATGATGTAAGATACAAATGTTTGAGTGATGAAGTATAATATATTAGTGTATTAAGTGAAAGAAATGTTCTCATGTAAGTGAAATGTAAATTTCTTTTTGAGAAAAATAAATTCTTTACCCATATATTGTGGAGGTAGTAAAACATTGATAGTTGGTTTATTACACCACGGATACACCATAACGAATGTAGGACGTTTCGTAATCCATGTACGCGTTACTCGTAATGTTGTTTTCTTAATATTTTATAAAAACACGATACTATACTGTAAATTAAAAATACCCAATAATAGGTCTCTTAAGCATAAATAGGTATAAATTATCGATTTATTGGTACTGCTTCGTTTCCTATGTGTATATTTACTATTTTAGCCGAGCTGGAAACGTTATGTTTATTTTTTAAATAACGACATTTGCTGTAGATCGTGAAATCAACCAAATAGGTAAAATTTAGTTTCAAAATTCAGCAACCGACATATACATTATTCGTTACGAATCTATTAAGATTAAAGCTTACAAATTAAAATAAAGCATTAACTTTATAGGGGTACATTTACTATTTGAGTAAATAATTAAGTACTTTTACTTTATCTGTTTTATTGCTTGACTTGATTAGGCACACTACTACGAGTAAAATAGTAAAAATAATAACCTCACACATCTTACACACGACTGTCTAATCCCAAGCTAGACAGAGTCCGTACCAGGGTAACCAGACTGCTGGTAAACATAATTATATGTTATAAAAATAAATAGAATACGGTACTTATGTTCATAGGTATCTTCCGGGAAGATACTTTTATTGTTCACTACTGAGTATTAAGAAATAGTTACCGCGTTACTTATATCCCAAATGATACTTACTGAACAGAGTCAATTTAGCTCCTTGATGAAGTAAATATAAATTTTTGCTAAATGTCTCTTAGAAAGTTTAAACAAAACTATTAATCTATATTCAATAAATGCAAGCAATGATTTCTTGAACATTTATCTGTCACATCGACAGTAATTCTATTTGAAACTCAAAGCTTTTCACAACACAACTTTTGACAAAAAATATCCACACAATTTTTTCCATATAAAACTGGTTTCTTTGTAGAGATTTTTTCACCAGCAAATTTGTATGCAGTAAAAAGTACGCCAAGGTACAAACTTGTCCATTCAGATACAAAGGAAGTTTTTATTGGTGATTTACCTGTTTCCCCGTTTATATGGACTTTGTTTTATTAGACATAGCAATTTATGTGTTAATTTTAGTACAATGACGTATCAAAAATTTTGTTTTGTTTTGTTATTATTGTCTGAATTTAAAAATTTGTGAAATGGCCAACTATTTACATTCAGTTTATTTAAGTGTGCATTACTGTAAATGTTTTATTGAGCGTTTAAGAGTGAATTATAAAAAAATAGTTTGACAATAGACGGTTTACTTTCTATAACACTTTTTGTAGGATTTTGGAACGAAGTTCCTTATCGCGCGATACACGCTCTGAGAGGAAGGGAACGAGACCGAAAAATGTGTAAAAAGACTTTTTTCCGACACTATAGCAAATATCTACCAAAAAGCGAAAGGAACTTGGTTCCGACAAGGGGTCCATAAACTCTTCACGCCTTTTTTAAGTTATATTAAAAATTTACTTTCATGATTTTTTTCAATGAAGTTTCATTTCTATTTTATCAAAAGGCTTCACACAATATCTTCCATTGTTAAACTACTTTGACCGTGGGAGAGTCTTTAGCACAAATGGGCCGACTTGACCTGAATGACTATACTTCGGCGTCACATAATACCTATGTAAAGCAAAGAAGCGATTTTTTCCTTGTTTTTTTTTCGGTTATCGTATATCCAACCCCCCACCCAAACTCTGAGGAGGGAGAGACTCAGAGAGAGAGAGAGAGAGAGAGAGAAAAAGAGTATCTATTAAGTGTTCCCAGATGTCCATGGGCATGCTCATTTACCTGATGTACCAAAAAAAGCACACATACCACCCATACTACCCATACCATACACGTGATAATTTGTAGTTGAATGTTACAATTCTTCGAATAGAATTTTTTGACTTATTGGTTGATCTTTTATTTTCCCTTAGAGTGTTAAGCTTTATTAATCCCTGATTAATTATAAGATACTAGACAATAATACTGAATGTGTAACAGTAGGTTCGGTCTAGATTAAAGCAAATTACGTTTACGTGCAGCTGTCTATTAACGAAGCTCTTAATCCGTTAAAATGTTTGGCTTATTGCAAGTTATGATGGTGTTCTATATTATACTTCATCATATCGACAGCCTTTAACAGTCCACTGCTGGACATAGGACTCTCCTTAGAAAGTAGGTTTTGGCCTACTATACCACACCCACGGGATGAATAGGGGTGGTGACACTCTGTATTCTTAATCCGTCACAACACGAACACATTATGCTTGACCGCATTTTTAGTATAACTATTCTATTTCAGTTAAAATTTTGCAGCCGTTAAGCAAATCAGTTGCTTTTACTTTTAATATTATTAAACACTAGACAAAGGACTACCATAGTTGGTTTCCAACAGTTTATTAACTAAACAGGTACTTGCAAGATCGTGTTCTTAACAATAAAAATGAGCCTTGTTATTTATTGTTCTTGTTCTATTTCTATAAAACAGAACTTCGTCACCGCAATCCCCAAACTGTGTATCATGTAGCAAAGAAGTAATTTAATTAACAAAACATTTAATATAATAAGTTGTTGATGTCTGCTTAGATACTTAAACCATTATTGGTTCGGTTAACAGTACAGTACAGTTTTATTAGAAGCTGTAAAATTAAAAGCAATTAATATATGTTGTACAAGGTTTTATAATAAATAACGATCCTGATCAGCTCTAAGAAAAACTTTTAATTGACTTTTAATGTTCCCACGATAACTTTTACATTCCAAAATTAATAATTACTTTCATATTTTTTGTTCACGTCTATATTTCAATCGAATTGAAATTCACAGTAACGTGTAAGTAATTCGAAAAAATGTGACGTAATGAAATTACAGACTTTCATTGCAATTTATAAACATTCAGTCGACTTCGTACTGTTTTTAGTATGGCTGTAAGTTTTTAATGTCATACTTACTCCAAAGAAAAGACTGGTTCTCCAAGCCACGTGATTGTAAAGAGAAAAGAATCAAAAAGACATTTTGGATCCCACTATCGGTTAGTAGAAATCGTTACAGTAAGTATAAATGTCTCATTATTTTCACTATTCATTGTTGTCCACAACATACTGCTTTTGTGAGATAAGCTCGCAAGACCTAAAATTTTAATGACTACTTATTAGGACTATAAAGCTTATTCCCTACTTGATTAAACTCCTCTCAAGTATAACTTATAATTTTAATTTTCAATTAACTCTTTGTCTAAGCTTATATATGTTAATTTAATGAGAGATTGCCCAATTTACCTTGCAACGACAATCATCAGCAGCGACAAAGTGAAACAACTCAGTGCCAGGAACGGCTCCATGGTCACAATGACGTAAGCGGGCGGTCAGCGGACGACGAGTGCCATAAGCGCACACCGGATGGTGGGATTTCTTAAAAGGAAACTCCCAGTCCGAAATCTGAAACAGAAGAAGCCAAACTCAAAATTGTTTTCAAAGCATCAGGTAAGGCACCATAATAACAGATACTGTATTTAAAAATAAATATTTAAATATAATATTTTTACAGAACTCGTTTCTTTTTAATTTTACTAACTGAGCATAAATATTTTGAAAGCTAAAGTAATTCAATCTCTACAAAATGTCTATCTCTGTCAGTCTTTACGTAAAATATTTTATTGAAATTGTTTCATAATTGCAAGAATGAAATAGCTATGACAAAGATAGTAGCCACATAGCCAGTCTATCTTACAACAAACATACATTACGTAAACATTCTGAGTGATTACATGCTCTACACGGAATAAATGAAAACATCTAGCCGCCACCAGCTCTTGGAATAATAAATGAGTGTGGGTTTATATCATTTTGTTCTCGTTGGCAACAGCACCAACGATTTTTGGCCAAAAACTTTTGGCGAAGCTTTGTCGTATACTTTGCAATATCATTTGTATAATCAATAGTGAGTTGTTATGAAATAGTTACGTAATATTATATGTATATTATTACTCGTAAGTTATTCATTTTAATAGATACCATGTTTTTTTTTGTTGTAGATCAATTTCAAGGAAAAAATAATTAAATGGCTGAAAAAGAGGTATTGCTAAGTGCAATATCTTTCAGGCTAGATTACTGTTTATGTAAGTCACGGCAGTTATTTCACAAAAACAGCAAATTTAGGAATCATAGGTATGGACGTTTCCATTGTATTCAGAAATGTATAATGTGTAGTGAATTCATTGACAAATACTCACGTTTACACAGCGATATAATGGATGTGAACGAAGTGCTGTCGGTTTCATCGATTTAATTTGTAGAGCGTTTGTTTCATCAAACAATGGTTAGTAAAACAATAAAGGAATCAAAAACACCTTATTAACATTTGTGGTATCGATACGCTCTGAGTTTTGTAGAAACAAAACAATTAGGTAGTCCATGTTTTTTATGTGTATTGTTGTAATAAATACATTTAATTTATTTTGGACTTCATAATTTTTTTCGGTATGTTCAAAATAATAAAGTTTTACAACCCTCTTTTGCAGATCACTGTGCACGCCTCGCGGACTGTACAGTGATCTCCCAATGTACAGTCCGCGAGGCCTAAGCTGAGCTTTGCATTTGTGAGTGCACATAGATAGTGCAGGTGTGACGTCGGCCTAGAGTGTGACGCGTCCTTTGTTTGGTTTAAAGCGGTATATACTGCTTTTTGGCAATCGTCCTAAGGCGTGGTGAGTCCCTCGCGCGACGCAACACCTTCCTCATTTCACCTCTTGTAGCAGCTCACTGGTAGCAGCGTGACGTGTTTAATTCTTAATATTTTGTTTTTGTGTATGATTAATTAGTGAAATGGCTGCAAACACAAATCAATGAAGAATACGAAAACCTTTAAATAGCCAAGTAAAATAAATTTTGTGTAATTTAAATAGTTATTTAAAAGACATACTGGTAAAGACATGTCTGGTAAATTCCGCTGTCTACTGTCAAAAGAGTTTTATTGGAAGATAAACGTCTTTTGGAAGACGGCAGCAAATTTAAATCTTCGAAAAAGATCACATGCGGGAAAATATCATTATTATTGACGATTTTGATAAAGCGGTAATCCGATAAACTATTCACAACTTTCACATCACTAATAAAGAGGTGCCAACTATGAAAAGAAAACATGAAAGCCCGCTTCCAGCTCAAATAGTCTTAAACAAGATAGGATTGACTGGCTCAAGTATCGATCACTCTACATCGATGCTTAAAACAAAACTCTATCAATTGATAATGGAAAACAAACAAAGATTTACTGAATATAAAATTGTCACTTTACTTAGAGAACATCGTCAATTTAAAATATATGGGCAATGATAAAAGGATACGTGGCGAAAGAAACATAAATGAAAATGGATACAATAATGAGGTTAGCGATAGAAAAAGTTGACACTATCACTATACAAGAATGGAAAAATCACTGATAGGTGACCACGAAATAAAAGAAGAAAAAAGTTTCATAGTCACGACGCGGTTCTTGATAATTTAATGGAACAATTCAGTATTAATACAAACGACACATCAGACGCGAGTGAAAACGAAGACGAGAGTGATATTGAAAGTGATGAAGTAGTAGTCCGGTGTAGAAGAATTGTTAAAAAATATATATATTTTAATTTTATTTATTGATCTCTGACTTTCCAGTCACACTTATATATGTACGCATACTCATCAGTCATACATAATTATCAAAGCTGCTTTTTATTTTATAAATTTTTGCTTATTTAGTTTCATTTTATTTTTAAATTAGAATACCTTTCCCACTACTGTTGTGCATTTACCTAAAACATGATAAAGGTTATTTTTAAAAGTCTTTTATCTGAGTCTACTTTTGATCATCACTCACACAAATGCAAAGCTCAGCTTAGGCCTCGCGGATTGTACTCCCTGTTTCATCATCATCATCATCATCAACAGCCTTTCATAGACCACTGCTGGACATAAGCCTCTCCTTAGAGGTTTCGGCCTACTATAACTATAACTCCCTGTTTAGATAACAAAAAAAGTTTTAGCATTTTAATGCAATGTTAAGTGATCTACTTACTAGTAGTTACTTGTAAATCAATACTTTAACTTCATTAGCAACTTTTATGAGATAGTATTATCAAAACTAAAACACTATGGAATACTCTTCTCTATCTAATTATAATAAATACGTTTATTCACATACATTTTTTGATTTACTACAAATAATGTTAACAAAACAAGCCATCTTATCATCGAAATCTCAAATGACAATATCGAATCTCGAATCGAGTCACTTCGTATCATCCATCCGGTTGTATATGCTAATATTTAAACTAAAACGGATGTTCCGTAATTGCGGACGCGAATTGAATATCCGAATATAGCAAGTACAATGAAATTGACGCCCTCTGTATTGTAGCAAGGAGAGATTAATGTACTGTTTTAAAAACATAGATATTCTTACAAAAAAACATTCAACAGTTTTATTTAAATATACAGACTAGAACTAGGATTGTCTAAAGTTTGTTGTGGCCAGGTTTAGTCATTGCGACTTGCCGTTTTTGTAACAGTATAAGTGTACGAGAACGTGGAGGTCACGTGAAAAACGGCCAACATAAATGAAATGATAAGTTTTAACCTGGTAAATAATAACTGTAAAGCTAAAATCCGTCGACTAACAAACTATTGTATAACTGTCTCAATAAGAAGAAGTATAAGGTGCCTGTACATCCCTATCGCATAAATAAAGTGTATAATTATAACTAATTCAACAACGAGTTTAAATTGTATTTGCTCAGTTTACACACTGAAAACTCGGGTAATGAATAATAAGTTACGGTAAAAGATGATTCACTTCAGTTTATGAGTTTTGGCGGTGGAAACGGTCCAAATTAAATGGCCGGTTTGAATACGGTAAATAATTAACACAATTAAACGTAACTTTAAAAAATACAGCTTTGATTATTACCATGCACTGATCTAAAACAAAAAAAAATGGAAGATGATTTGACCATACAGAAATTTCAGTTTTCTTCTTTGTGTTTAGGAATTTTAAATTTGTTCACTTACATCACAGTTTGGGGGTTTTAAATGCTTATCTTTATTTATTTTAATTAATACAGAATAACCAAGTTATTGAAAAATATAACTATCATTTGAATTATTGCACTAAATTGAGTAAATAATGTGAAATAATAATAATAAAAAAAATTAAAACTTGTGTAGTCAATTATTTTTATCTGTAATTTTAGCTATTACAGTATTAAGAGTAAATTTTTCTTTGCGATATTATAAGTTGGATTGTGTTTAAGTAACCGTCATGAAGAAATTGAAAGGAAGCCCTTTTATTATTACTTATAATTTTATTACATTTGTAATCCTGACATCAAAGGAAACCTGCTTTTTAATTTACAAAATTATTTTTTTCAAATATGAAAAATAAGAACCTTATAGCTCCACTCTCTTCTCCAACAAGATTGTTCTGTAATCTATGTGCTCGCTTCGATAACTTTACAATTACGTCGATATCTTACGTCGATAAATAATATCCGGCCAAACATTAATTTCCTGGTTATTCAAGCACCTCATTGTTAGCCTTTCCAAAACATTTTGCATTTAAACATGCCATTAAAATATTAAGTGTTTTGCAGCGACCAGTTATATTTAAAATTTGTATGAAACTGTTGTTATAATAATATTAAAAGCTATAGCTTAAATGAACCCCAATAAAGATCAAAAACTATTTAGTAGATTTTATTTAATTAATAAAAGGTAATGACGAGAGATAATAAATTTACTATCTAATGAGAAATCATTAAGACTAAGTCACTAAGCGACCGGGAACATGAGGGTTTCCACACAGAAGGGGGTTACCCACCAGGGATTGCCTTTCTAGGGTACACCTGGCTACTAGTACCCGAGACGGGGTGCGGTTTTTGGTCGGTTCGAGTCCGACAAAATCACCTCATACCGGCGGGTGACATCCGAGGGAATTTCCGCATAGGGAAAAAAATAAAATGACATACTTGTATATTATGCTCAAATCCTCTTAACCACCAAAGTAGGACAATCATGTCTACGTAGTGTTACAAGGGTAGATACCAGCAATCAAATAACAAAATTATTCAGGAATCTAACCGCGTGTATGTCGCGGTAAAAAGTATGTCCTTTCTCAAGAATCAAACTATCTCCATACCAAGTTTCATCTGAATCAGCTCAGCGGTTATTGATTCCCCATATAAACTCCATCCCCCCTCTTTTGCACCCCTTAGAGGATGATTTCTGGGATAAAAACCATATTATGTCCTTTCTCGGGGCTCAAACTATGCCCGAAATCGATCTAAGTGGCGTGCAATGGGAGAGGCCTATGTCCAGCAGTGGACTGCAATAGGCTGATGTCATCATCAGCCTACATGTTTCATGAGTATTGAAATAAATTTGTTAGAAATAATAAATCTGACTTCACTTTGCCCTCATTTTAATTCACTACTATTTTCCTTTGTCATTCGTAATTTTCCTGTCCACTTACTTTCTAGCCAAAACATTATACATGCAGTTTATCTATCACTTATTTGATGGAAGTGTTGGAATACTTGTTAATTTTCAAACATAAAACTCTTTTCTTTTGATTTTGCTCTTTAACCGACTACAAAAAAGGAGAAGGTTCTCAATTCGTAGTAATTTTTTTTTTATTTCTCGAAGACGCCTGAACTGATGTGTTTGAAGTCGGTGCTAAGTCCATAAATAACAAAAATAATACTTAGCAAGTTATACAGGATTAAATTAATAACGAAACGTAGTTCTAATGAAATACCTAAATACTTTTATTAGGTACAAAGATCGCATCAATCGCATCAAAAATTTGAGACGACCGTCAACGACGACGTTTGCGCGCACGTGTCTGATCGCAGTAGGTGGCTAGCACATATAATATTTATTAAAATTAATAGATAACGGGTTTAGACTAGAATTGTCACATTGTAATTGTGTAAATAGATAAATTGGGTATTAAATAGTTTACCGTAGGTATAATAATTAAGATCAGTGTTTATAGTTAGTGAGTGTTTAGTGGATTTTTTACTGGAATTGTAATATAAATTTGATTTGGGCATTAAGTCGTATGTAAATACCAATAATTTTTTGGTTTTAGTTCCTGTGTGTATTTTGGAGGTGTTTTTTTTATTTAAAAATAATTTCATGTTTTTTACATTATGTTAATTCCTCAGCTTGCTCATTCTAGTACAACATAAAGAATATTTACATTTTAAAATAAATTGATAATTTTACTTACTTATTCTAAGGAGAGGCTTATGTCCAGCAGTGGACTATTAAGGGCTGTTGATGATTCTTAAAAACCCCTCGGTTTCATTTACTTTTTAATGAAAGCTTTGTTACCATTATAGAAACTACCTCTCCGGGTTCCACGAAGTGAAATCTTGTTTCAAAATCACATGACTGTTTTATTACTTTATAAGTAAACACGTATTCTTTAGCATTCTGCACAAATAAGATGGTTATCTCAACTTTTGTTACGCTCAAAATGAATAAAGTTTTAACGTTCCAACCGTCTACAGCGATCTTGCTTCACTACATATAGGTTTGTTTTAAAGTAGTAAAGACAAATACCTACAGAGTATGAGAATCTCTCAGCCAGTCGTTGTTTAGGCAATCGTTTAGATAAATAGTTAAATGTTTGTTTTACGGTTATAATTCATCTTAAGCCAAGAGATCGAGGCTGTATTAATTGTTTTGAAGTACTAACTGTAAAATCTTTGTAATGTGGTTAATGGGCGTGCGTATCCGTTGACTTTTGCTAATTTGAACAATAAAAAAGGAATACTGTTATCACAGTTTTTTATCAAAAATGTGAGCTACTATTATCAAATCACAATAGTCAAAGGAAAAAGGAACGTCTCATCACACAAACGTACGCCTCAATCCCTCCCACAGTTCATCATCACCACTTGAAATCCTCCTTTTAAATATTCTCTGAATACATGTACGAGTACTGGCAGTTCTTTAGTTACATATGTCATAAATCCAAGTTAGCGTACCTTTTAGCATTTTCACTTATTTAATAAAAAAAAAGCGTAGTCCATGTAGTGTCACTGTAGTGACGGATTCAGAATACGGAATGTCACTAACCCAATCCATCCCGTGGATGTCGTAAGAGCCGTCTCAGGACGCAGGACACAACAATGCAGGACTCCAGCACTGCAAAAAGAAGGAAAACTTGACACAAACCCTATACCAACCCGTCTGGCCAGCGTGGTATAGTAGGCCAAAACCTCCTTTCTAAGGAGAGGCCTATGTGCAGCAGTGGGCTATTAAAGGCTGATGATGATGATGATATTTAAATCGAAGTAAATCAATATGTATACGCGTTTACCTCGTTAGTATCACATCTGCCGCCACAGACAGGCATTTTCACTGTATCCCAGCACCGTAACCCGTTGTCATCCAACTGTTCAGCACGTGCAAGGTAGACCCGAAGCTTACAAGGCGAAACACTTCGAGATGATGTCATTACGCATATTAGCAGAATCGGTAGTAAATACTTTATGAGCATGATCTGTAAAAATCTTTTATTATCAAATAAAGTTACAAACTTTTAATGGATCAGGACTGCGTAATTAAAACTCAATATATGTTAGGAGTCTCACATTGTAATGAATCATATCCTAATAATTTAGGTGGAGCTTATCGTTAAATTATAATAAAACTTTTCGCTTGGCCCCTACGCTTTCTAAACCATTGAATCGTAATGATTAAACAGTTACCTTCTGCCACTTCTCTAACTCACCGTCGAGACCACCGCACAATTTCATGTATTTAGTTTAGATTATTTATAAATCAGTAGTTTCCTTTGCTATCACAGAATTCTTAAGGAGAAAATAAAATTCTACAAAAAAACTATAACGGAAAAGAATTTTCTCCATTGATTGTTAACTTTATTCAATTTCACAACTTTTTGAAGTTCGGATGAATACTTAAATAAACGGTATAAATCGAACAGTATTGAGTGGTTTTAATAAAAAAATTAAATTCAGGTAAAAACTTTTGACTTTGATAAAAAAATTCTTCAGAGAAGGCTCTACTCTCATGAATCACACTTGAATGAAGTTGTCAGTGTGTGTTGTGTAAAGATATTCTTATTATAACACATAAAGGACAATGGCAGGTCAATGTATAGTAAAACAATAGAAGAAGTCTTCGCTCACCAAGCAGGTGTAATAAATAAATAAATTAATTAATTAAAAATATTAATTCGAATAATGGTACTTCAATAAACATTCACACAAGGCAGAAGCAATTTATTTCTTTATTTGGTAATTGGACAGATAGTAGTTGTTAGATTATTTACTAAAATCTAAAGCATGCATCCATTATATTAAGTCACATCATGCATAACAGAGTAACACTATACGGAATAAAAAAACATAACACCTAAATTGAACTAAAATAAAACAACAAACCATTACCGTGTAAGCAATGGTCATGAAGCCATGCGTGTGAGTGTCAAACGACAAGACTGGTGAGTGCGGCACTCGACAGGATCCAAACGGCAACGTATCGACATTTTGAAAATATCGATGTATGTCTATTTATGAGTCGTTTTTACCGACAATGTCTTTTACTCATCACACTGTTCAGTATATTGTTATACTGCAAACATTGGTAAAATAACGTAACTATATTCAATTAATAGAATATAGTTACGTTATTTTAACAATGTTTGCAGTGTAGTCTAGCAAAAATCGTTTAAAAAGAGTCAAAAATATTCTGAATTATTTCTAATTATGTTGATTTAGTCACTCTACCGTGCGAGTGAACCCGTGGGCAGAAGCAAATTCATAATCATAAAAGGTGAACCTTCGGCAGATATATCAGCCAAAGCTATAAAAATCGATTATCGATAAAACGTTTCATAATATAATAATGCCATCACGCATCCCTAGTCGGTTATACGTGATGGCGAATCTGACATTACGTACTTAGTCAAATTAATTTTCAAAAATATCCGATCTCTTATAAGACTTATACAACACATGGTGTAATGATAAATCATAGAAAATTTTTTTTTTAAGTTTACTGTGAGTCAATTTTTAAGCGCTTGAGTTTAAGGTAAATATGTTTCTGCCATTGTTCTTTATAAGTTTAAATACAGTATGCCAAAGATGCAATGGAATATACTGTGTGTAAAGAGATTTATACTAAAGGATTTTATCAAATTCATATCACTTTTCACTACCATATTTACTGAATAAAAAACAGAAAACACAAACGAAGAAAAGTACATCTCTAAGGACAAAGATAAGTACAGGCAACGACAATAGTTGATGGTCAAAAACGGAGTGTCAAAACAACTGAACGTTATTTAGAGCAAATCTAAGTAGTGCTTCAACGTTACAAAACTAAATGATTGCATAAAGTACCCATTAATTAGCTGATGGAACTGTCCGCAAAAGTCAATGATTAAAGAAGATTCAAAGTAACTGATAGTCTTCAAAATCATAACTTCATGAATAATTTGTTCTTAGCATTTTTTTGAGAAACTAATACTAACGTGCAATAGAAAAAGTTGAAGTTCAAGCATGCATACGATACGATACAAAAAAAAATGCATACGAAACGGTGCTCTTTTTTTCCACTTGTGGCGTATTCCGGTATATAACGGTATATAATGTCTTCGGAACATCTTGGAGATGTCATGGAAGGACAGGATCACCAACGACAGGATCTTAGAAATTGCACAGCTACCCAGCCTCACAGCGATATTAAAGCAGAAACGCTTGCGATGGTTGGGACACGTGCACCGTATGGTCTCCTCGCGGTTACCGCGACGTGTCTTGCTTTGGTGCTTTGGCACACAAAAAAAAAGGGATATTGACAGACCCATGCTGCGGTTTAAAGACTGCGTCAAGAGGTATATGATTTCATTTGAGATAGATGGCTTGGGAGAGGATCGCTGGAGATCGCGATAAATAATAATAATATCGCGTGATCGATGGGCGCGCAGTTCACGACAATATCTGGTTCCAGAAGTTGGTAGAAAGGAGAGTGAAGCGTCAAAGAGCCAACAATGACCCACAAAGCGATGGTAATAGGTGCAGGATATGCAGGTGAACCAGTCGCTCTAGAATTGACTTACATAGCCACGAAACAACGTGTACGGCCACGGCACAGTAACTAAATCGTCTGAAATAGACGTAGGAGGCCAGCGAATTATGGAGCGCTATGCACGTTTTGGCCCTTGCCATGGTGGATGCCCATTGTGAATGAAGTTTTTTTAATCGGAAATCCCTACTAATACCACCCCATCGGTTCCATCGACTGTTTTACAAACGGTTCCCTTCATGTGTGGTGACCACGGTGTCAACCTTGGTTCCGCCTTTGATAAGGTGCACGCACTCTGGAGCACGTCGCCCCGCTACCCTGACCTAATTCTGCTAAGACAAACAGTAGCTAAACGAGTGTGCTTTAGACCACATGAATAAAAACTTCTTGGCTATGAGTGAAACAGAGAACATAAATGTGTGCTCGTACCTCTCTCTCTTGCCCCTACAGTAATATACGAAACGTAACTCTCTCTCTTTCTATCTTCACTAACTTATAGGATTGACCCTTACCCTGATACTCCCATATTCCTCCGCATCTCGGCATCTGGATTAAGCGATGTTCATCTTTGTTAAACTGTTTCTAAGTCTATGTGGCTAAGTGGTCTAACCAACCATAACCATAGTCAGGTCAATCTAATAATGGGTGACCGTTTTTAACCTTTTGAGACCCCTTCGTACCTCGGAGAGCACGTTAAGCCGTCGATCCCGGTTGCCATACGAACATCTGTGGTAATCGTTACTAGTAGTTAGAGCCCTAATAAGTCGAACAACAGTGTTTCTACAGAACTTTGATATCGCCTAATATTTCGGTTGTGGAGGTCTCAAGGCAGTAGTTCCGCGTAAAAATCTTAGTAGACTTAAAGACGACTCCAACTTAGTTTGGTTTGTGGGAAAAAACGCTCAGATGAGGGAAGATGTTTGTAAGTCCAAATTGAGGAATAAAGATTTAAAAACATTGCCTTGTGTTCCATTTCATAATACGGAACGCTCTCATACCTTACTGCTTCGTTGTCCACTCGTGTCGTGTCTCCTGGAAACCAACGCTTATCACCATTGCGAGAGCCGGAGCATATACAGCGCTCAAAAGAATACTAGCGTGGATGGAGAAGCGTGTGGAATTCCGCCACGTCGTTCTGCAAGCAAAAGTGTGGCTCGCGAAAGAGGGGCTAAGCTAGGCAGCGAGCCAGGCGTCTAGAACGTCTCAGGCTATGATAAAATCGTAGATAGCCCAAGATTTGCTGGCGAGGTTAGGTACAGCGGCTGCTGACAAAAATGCTAAGAACAAAATATTCATAAAACTATTACTTATTTTGAAAAGTTTTAAATGATCAACTTTTGGCGACAGTTTAATCAGCTAATTATTTTAAAAGGTCTTTGATCATCAACTTTTCGTGACTCTTCAATAAATTAATTTGTTTTGAAACGACTTTGATCATCAGCTTTTGGCGACAGTTCAATCAGCTGATTTATGAGTATTTTTTTTTCAATCACTTACGAGTAGTTTTGTAACATTGTAGCACTACCTAGATTTGTTTTAATTATCGTTAAATGGTTTTGATATTCCGTTTTTGATCATCAACTTTTGTCGTTGACTTATACATCAACTTCGTACCTCATAATGATTCATTTATGTAATTTGTTATTTTTATATGACTTAACTTAAACAGCAAACACTAGTCTGTTTTAATAGCTAGTTAACAATTAATTGAAAATTTTCAAAGTACAGTAATTCAATCTTACTCGTAATTTTAATTAAGTATACTGGCTAAAATATACTTAAATGAAATTTAAATGACGTGCATCACTACACAGTAATATAATTTACATAAATTGAGCTTTATTTAATGCAAACTACTTCATCGAGCTGGTTAAACACTTTGAAACAAGAGGTTAAGATAAGTAGAAGAACCTTCTGTAACAAAGATATCTTAGTTAAGTTAATTTCACTCCGGTTTAGAATAAAGAATACTCACTCAGTGTAAACGTTTACTTAACAGGATGCGTACTTGTTCTCTGAAGGGTTACTTGAAACTAAGTATTTTTCATGCGCCCTCGACTCTCTAGTTTGCAGTTTTTCCTTCCCACTTAACATTATGAGTCCCCATTCCGGTTGTTTAACTGTACATGATCAACGTCAGCCTATAAAAAGCTCATAAAATAACAATATAAAATACTTCTCCGTGTCTTTTACTATCGTATGCAAATTACGAATTCACAGTTGTACTAAATAGTCCATGAACAATAGACGACGATTCTAGAAGATGAAATTATTCGTAATTATAAAGTTACTGTTTTTTTTTTTGCTTTCTATTTTATATTCTTTACTATAATTTATCTCCGTGGGAAATTTTATCCAGATTCGTTCTTGCGTATTTTTGCGTGAAACAGTAAGAAAAATACATACATC